GGGGTCGCCGGCGAGGTCTGCCCACCGAGCGCCTCTGGGACCTGTCCGCAGGGCACCATCCGGACAGGATTGACTGTGGACGGATCTCTGGGGGGCTCACCCCTCCCACTGCAGTTTACCCGAGGAGGATAGGTGCTTTCCTTAGTGGGGTGTCCAACGCTGAGAGGTGCCCTTGTGGGATGAGAGCTTCTGATGCCTGGAAGTTCAAGGGGGGTCCTGAACTTCTTTTTGCTGGGATGTGCCCCTTGCTTGGGGGAAAGAGGGTTTTCTTCTGGTGTCACAGTTTGGCCACATGACCTCCAAAGGCCGTCCTGATTTGGAGAAGTGTATTTTTCATAAACATGGAAATAACACCCCCACCCCCACCCCAGGGCCCTGGTGCAGTGGCTGGGATGGGACAATACTGGCCACCCTCCCTCAGGCTCTTGTGCAGAGCTGTCTGGTAGCAGAGGGATTGGCAGAGGCTTATGAAGATGTCATTTGACCCTCCGAGGGAGGGGAGGGTTACAGAGATGGTGTGGACTGTGCCAAGGCACAGGAAACCCAGGGCTGGCAGCGTGGGCGTGTCCAGTTTCATTCATCCCCTCTTTGGCAAGTTTTTACTGAGTGTTGGGGCCCAGCAGGGCAGTGTCCTGGCCCTGGGGGGCCTGGTGGGGCAGTGTCCTAGCCCAGGGGGGCCTAGTGGGGCAATGTCCCAGCCCTGGTCCCGTGAGTGAGGCACAGTCCCTGGTGCAGTAGAGCCGTTCATATTGAAGGGACAGACAGGGAAAGACACAGGGACAAGTGTCTGGTGGTGGAGTTAGAACTGAGGAGGAGAGCCCCAAAAGGGGAAGGGACAGGGTCGTGCAAGTGGGGACAGGCCTTTGTGCGTGATGGTTGTTTACATGGTTACATTTGACCAGAGACCTAGACAGACTGGGCACTGTGCATGACAGGGAGACATGGGCCCAGGTAGGAAGAACAGGCTGGGAGCTAGACACCAGCATGGCGGGGCAGAGGGAGATGAAAGGGAAAGGTCTTCCACAACCTGCTGGGCTGAGATGGGACTTGCCTGTTTACTGGGAGTGGGTGGGAGCCCCTGGAGGGCTTTATCCAACTTAACCTTTTATAGGGTCCTGTGACCTTTGGGAGGGGGTCAGACAGAGGAAAGACCAGCAGTTGCAGTCAGGAGGGAGGTGGTAGTGGTGGTGGGCAGGGCCGAATGCACAGGCATTGAATACCAGCAGGACGAGTGGTGTGGGTCCCTGAGTGTGGTCTGTGGGAGCTGCTGTTTACTGGAAGGCAGAGCTCTGTGGGAAGAGCAGAGGCTTAAAAAGAAAAAAATTGTTCAGAGTCTGGGATGCCATTTAGATGCCTTTGGGCAGTCAGGGTGCTGTGGGTGCCTTCTGACAGTGAGTTCCCATGGTCTGCAGGGACAGAGCTGATTATGGAAGTCAGGCCGAGCTCACCACCCATGAGCAGCACTCGGTTCTGGCCTTGGGTTTGCCAGATGCGTAGTCTGCAGAGAGCCTCTCTGTGGTTGGGGGTCCGGGACTTGGCTTTTCTAAGGTCTCTCTAGTGTCCCCTTCTGGAACAACGTCATGCCTAATACATCACTTGTGGGCCTCCCACATCCTAGCTCTTGTTGTCTTTAGCCCCACAGGGAGAACAGAAGCCTCAGGACTTGGGGCCTCTCTGTCATGTCAGGGTTTAGTGCTGCCGTTCCAGGGGTGCTTACTGACCTGCAGACCTTCGTTCTGCATTGTGCCTGGCAGGCTTCTGTGGGGCGGCCACTCACTGGGCAGCACGGCCGCCCTTAACTTCAGAGGCCTCGTGGGTGCCAGACAGACCCACACCCTTGCTGGCATTGGGTGGGAAGTCACCCATTGTCTGTTTTCAGTGTTGTTGTCCTTGGCCAGCTCCTGTCATGGTTTGTGGCCGCACGGCCGCAGGTTTGGGGTGGTGCAGTGCCTACTTTTAGTCTGCTGTTTTTGCTGGAGGCTTCTGCAGCTGCCTGTCCTCCCTTGGGGTGGCTGTGGCTTCACTCTTAGGAAGTGGGAGGCACTTTTGCAGAGGTTCACCAGAGCTGCCTGACTGCCAAGAGGAGGGCCCTGCTGGAGAGGGCCCGGGGCTGCAGGCCCTGGCTGATGACCTTCCTGCAGGAAGCAGCCACAGCAGAGGGAAAAACAATCTCGGGAAGCACTGGGTTACCTTCTAGAGCAGAGACACAGTCATGCCAGCTATGCGTTTTTTCCTCATAACTCTGCAGCCCCCAGAAGGAACCCAGCCCAAGTTATTATACTTGAGGTCAGCAGGGTAGAATGTGGACCAGTTCCCAGGACACCTGCTCGGTTAGCAGGGCAGCATTGTCCCGCCCCCACAGCTCCTGGAGCTGTGTCTGGGTGCACCTGGATTGCCTTTGGGTTGAGGAGTGATGAGAGACAGAGAACCGTGCAAACACAGTTCCCAGGCGAGTGTCGAGTGTACGTACAGACGGGCAGGGAACCCAAGGCCTTCACACCCCCACCCCCACCCCCGGTTTTAGGCCTTCTAGGTCCTTACGTGCGGCCTTGTGACTAATTCAGATTTTATAGAACGAATTATTTTATTTTATTAATGCATGTTTGTTCATCTTTTATATTTTTATTTTTAAAATGGATGTATTTAAAATACCAAATAATAAAATAAGTTTTAAGAAAATAATCTTCCCCACACTGACTGGCACAATTAGAACAATAGTAAGCCATAAGAGCAAGATTAGCAGCTGCTATGCTCGTGATTTAGTTCTAACTTCCCCCACTAGCCTGGTGAGAGTTCATGGGGTTCGGGAACGCCAGTCTGTTACCAGTTTTTGACAACAGTACACTGTGTTTCTTTTCTTTTCTTTTCTTTTTTTGAGACAGAGTCTCACTTATGTTACCCTCGGTAAAGTGTGATAGTGTCACAACTCACAGCAACCTCAAACTCTTGGGCTTAAGCGATTCTCTTGCTTCAGCCTCCCAAGTAGCTGGGACTACAGGCACCCACCTCAACGCCCGGCTTTTTTGTTGTTGTTGCAGTTGTCATTGTTGTTTGTCAGGCCTGGGTTGGGTTCAAACCTGCCAGCCCCACTGTATGTGGCCAGTGCCCTAACCACTGAGCTATGGGTGCCTGCCCTCTGTTTCGGTTTGAAGTGGGATTTGTGAATAGTTGCATGCTCAATGGCATTTTTAAATTCTGTCTGCTTAATAGCACATCATGTCAAAGAAGACCAAGGGAACGCTGAAGAAAGGAAATATTATTTATTTAAAAAAAATTTTTTTTTTTAGAGACAGTCTCACTTTATCACCCTTGGTAGAGTGCTGTGGCATCATAGCTCACAGCAACCTCCAACTCCCAGGCTTAGGCGATTCTCTTGCCTCGGCCTCCTGAGTAGCTGGGACTCTAGGTGCCCACCACAAGGCCTGGCTATTTTTTGTTGCAGTTTGGCCGAGGCTGGCACCCTACCCACTGAGCCACAGGTGCCACCCAGATAACAGGTTTTTAATGAGGACTGGGAATTACAATATTATCTGGTTTCTGCTGAAGATAAGATTTGTCTGCTTTGTGATGCTGCAGTATCAACTTCAGAGAAATTCAGTGCTCATCAGCATTAAAACACTGATAAGGACCACAAATATTTCAAGTTGGAGGGAGAGGTGTGAAAGGGGGTACTGCAGAAATTAAAAGATGAAAAACAAAAGCAAAGAAAATTCTTTCAAGCAAGAATAAAGGCTGAAAATAATGTCACTGAAGCAATTTATAAAGTAGCTTATATACTCAGGGACAAAAGAAAGCCCTTCAGTGATGTGGGAATTGTGAAAGATTGCATTGTCAGAGTTGTAGGACGCTTGGACCCCATAACATTTCAAAGTACAAACAACGGCCTGTTTCAGGGAGAACCAGGACTGATTAGCACCGTGCATTAGCCTTTAGCTTAACAAAACGGCTTCATGCAATCCTTCAGAGGGAAGTATGTATTAGTCAATCTGCTGACTTGACATGGGATTTTCTTTGGTACAAAAAGTTCCATGCTGGGCACGCTTGTGAACAGAACACTAGGAATAAATAAACATCTTCAGCAACTTTCAAGATGAATGTCATGAAGTTGGGCTGAGTTTGGTAAATTTAGGGAATGTGTGTACAGACGCTGCACCTTCCATGACAGGAAAACATGAAGGGTTTATTGCACAGATAAAAAAGTTATCGCTAGGTCCGGTTGCTCTCATTCCTTTCCATTGTCCCTTGCACCAGCAAAATCTCTGTGCTAAAGCTACCCTTTTAATTGACACTTTGTAGCAAGTTAAAAATTAAATATGGTTAACTATATTCATGCAAATGCAACATGGCCTTATCGGTTTCATAACATGCTCAGGTTGAACAACGGGGTATTCAGCGTGGATTTGCCCTATTGTTTTAAATTGAGCTGGCTATTGCAGGGACAAAATGTTATCTCTATGAAGACAGAGAGTTGAATATTATGACGGTAGAATCAGCAATATGAATTACTGAAAGAATATTTCTATTGGAATGTACCATTTCTTTGTGAAATCCATGTCTAATTGAAAGGACTTGAATATTTGCAATGTAAAACTAAGTCTATGCAAAAATGTTAAGCATTTATAAAAACACTATTTTTTTTTTCAAAACA